CATGAGCGATCCTATGGTCATTGGGTAATATCATGAAGTCATGAGCATTTCTATTGGTTCATTGGTTAATTATTCATGAAGTCATTGAGCAATTCTTATTGGTTCATGGGTTAATTATTCATGAAGTCATTGAGCAATTCCTATTGGTTCATGGGTTAATTATTTATGAAGTCATTCAGACAAACAAATTTATAAAGTAAACCAGAACTGGAATAATGACAGATATTGAAATAACGTTGCAAATCTTTGCTCAGGTAGTTGTGCTTGAAAAGATTGTTATTTTCTGTTCATGTTATCTGCATTTGATCTGTATGCAATAAACAGCTTTTTATGGTTATGTCAATTCCACTTTGAATAAGATTTCGTAATTGCTATAAGATGAAGACAATTTAATTTATGTTATTTATCTGGTTTTTCATCTAATAATAAAAAGCTTCAACATAAATGTTTAATAATTGTAATAATTCAAAAGAATTTAAGGAAATTTAACAAAATTCAAAAACTACCTGCTTTCAATATGGCCGCCAAATATGCCATAATATGATAATAATAATAAGAAGACAAGAAAGATTACAGTGGCAAGATTCCTTGGATCATCTAGAGATGATATGAGTGGAATGCACCCTTCACCCCAGTCATGACACAACCACCACGGATTCAGTAGTAACCAACTACTTAGTGCATAAAGATAGGGAAAAGTTAGCATCTGAAAAACAAAAATAAAAGAGAGATTACCACACAATTAGGGTACAATCTCATTCCAAGGCTTTAATTCTGGGCGGGTGGGGTGGTGCGGGGTGTGGTGTGGTGTGGGGCTCCATACCATCCACATTACGTAGATGTGTTCCCATGTGGAGTGTCACTCAGGTCCAAAATGTGTGAAATTATAATCAATTCTCAAATGACGGTAGACCAATATTTGGGGATGCATGTTTCTAGAAGCATCAGTGTTTTAAGGTAGCAATTAAACAAGTTAAACAAGGGTAAACAAGTTAAAAAATAATTTGTGATTCAGACATTCTCTAAAAGTCACTAATGCATACTCCCATAGCAATCTATACAATATGCAAACGCCATACCAAAACTCAGTTTTCAACACTTCAGTCTAGTGAATTGTCTGTGAATGGACGTTTGTTATGTTGTTGTCTATTGTTTTTGAATGTAGTTTTGTCAGCAATGGAAATAGTGAACAGCCCTATCTATGTCAAATTTTTGAATCAAATTAGGAGATATACAGGTATATCCTTTTCTAAATAAAAAAAAATAATATCCTATGCTATCGTGTATTAATCTTTTCACCCCCAGTTCCTTCTTTTTATCACAAATTCACAAAATAGTTTTGTTTATAGTCTGCATTTTTCTTCAGAAGATTAGAACAAAAATAGCAAAATTTGTCAACTAAAAACTGAAAATTGAAGAAATATAATATGGTGTGCAGTGCAGAAACACTGATAAATAAGGTATGAATAAATAATTAATTACCTACCCTTGTGAGCGGCGCTGCATGTGACGCAGGATTGATATCTGGTCCAAAACGCGGTACACCGGTACCCATGATGATATAACGAGTAAACAGTAATAACACCGTTGATGATACTAAGATAGACTGACGTACCAGGAAAGCTTTTAACCAGTGTGCATTGTCATGGCGATATCTTCTTTGATAGACTTTGAAAACCTCAAATGGTGTGTTTCGGTAAGATATAATGTAATCGTAGATACTTACAACAGCCTTTGTAAAAAGATAATTTCATATTTTATGACGTTATACATGTGAGTTACCTTACAAAACTTACACATTATTTGTTCTACTACATGTATATTTTTTGAGCACATGTTTATTTCGATTGAATTGGAAGCAGTACGTCAAGCGAACCTTGTCATTTAAATTGAATATTGTTTGTACGGTATATGTTAAAGGGGACAGTAAAGAGTTGCACTATTGTGTGTACGCTTTTTAACAAAAACAAGTTTGAGAATTCAAAACATTTTTAGACAATATAATAATGATACATGTAATGCTTTGACATTATATAGCTGTGAAGAGATCTCAAAATTTATTGTCTCAAAATATTAAATTTTAGACCAGAATTATTTTGCAGTATAGAGGTATAGTAAGAATTTTTATAAGAATATTTACCAGTACAGTTATTCCATGTTCCTTTCCCATCATTGACAAAGCAGCACATATCACGGCCAGTAGACATGGAGTGGATTCTTACTGTCTGTAAAGAGTAAATATACAGTGCTCAACACAAACTGATGAGGATCAAGATGTAATCTCAACTTACGTAACATGTTTTGTCATTCTCATTCCAATGCAATGACTATAAGTAACATGTGACATGCCAATATAAAAGATTATATAAAACATGTTTTTATAGTAGCATTTCAGACTTACATTTAGGGTCAATACCTATTTATAAATGAATATACCCAGAATTTATTCACGTTTGCAATAAAATGTACTCCAGGACAATATACCGGTAAGAATATTGACTCAAAAAAAGTTGGGGTTCAACAGCCTAATTTTTGAGTAAATGTATTTTACCGTAGTTGATAGTTGTCATTTTGGTGCGTGTATTAAAGTGCGTTGCCATGGCAGGGATATTATGCTATATGTCAAATTTTAGTCTGGTGATATAGGCTGAAAAAAATCATATATTGGTAATGATGGGGTACTTATTGTTGTTCTGAATGGATTTTAAAAAGTGTTGAAAAATATTATTTCAAATTTCTCAAAAAATGTCATCGTAATCATGAAAAAATGCTATTTTGATGGGTCATGGAACAATTGCTCCATGATTCTACATAATAAATCAATGAACATTGTCATGCGATTTATGACTACGTTTCCCAAAACTTATGAGTATGTTTCTACCTTAAGTAGCAAAAGATGTATAAAGAATTAGATTATCATGAGAATATCAAAAAACATGCACTCAGGCGGTACAGGATCACATTAAGAGGTGTATTCTCATGACTGTACCATACAACACACAATATTCAATTCAACTGCATGATTAAGTTTACATACACATACACAGATGTTTTAAGTTCATTGACTTACTTCTACTACAAAGCTTTATGTAAACCAACATTGCAAGGAAAAAAAACAATGCACATATAAGATCTGCTCTTCCAACGTTTGCAACCACCTGCAAAACATAAAACATCACATCAATTAACTGAAATGAGAAAATAAATTGTTGTCACTGCTTGTTCACAAAATAATAATGTTTTCCATCTGTTTTTAATCAAGACCTGTAGTCAATGGAAAATGATGTCCATTTCCGTCAAAAATTAACAGATATATGAATAATTCTGCTAATACTTGTGGGGAAAAAATGATGTTGAG